TTAAAAATAAAATAGTAGAAAAACGAGAAAAATAAGCGGAATTGTACAACTAAAAAACACCATTATGAAATAATGTCAGAAGAAGCAAGAAAATTAAGGGACATTTTTATAAAACTTTTATTATTATACATTATTAAGTTATGTATTTTATTTTTTTTATATTATATTCTAATTGTATTACTCACTTGCTGTTTGTATTAACGAACGATTTTCCAAAAATATTTGTTCGGGTAAAGGGTGTTGCATCATGCGCAGTATAAAGGGTGTTAAATCAAAATTAATATATTAGATGTGTTTGAAACGCATAATAGAAAACTACTTGTGTAATAAAATATTATATTTTTAAATGGAATATTCTAGAATATTCGCTTCCGATCGCAAGTCAACAGGCATATCGTTTTTATATGTTTTTTCTGGAAAACATATCGCGACACAAATTATCCTGTCGTATAAAAAACACGCTCGAAATATAAACAATTAACGGTGTCGCAACCGTTCCGCCGAATAATTATATTTTCTTGAGCATGCGCGGCTTCTCACGGGCGCCTCGTTTCGCCAATAATCATCGTGATTGCCAGCTCGCGCATGCTTTCTAACAGCCGTTGTTCTGTCAAATTTGACAGCGGCCAATTACGCGTAATACGCTCAGGTCACCTCGCGCAACTTTAAAAAGACGCAAAATTATTGGCGCGTCACACGAAGGTGGGCTCCGCTCCGGAAATTATAAATGAGGAGCTCTCACCCCGCTTGCCAGCTTTATCGCTTTTCCGTCGTGAAAACATATCGCAAACCGCTTATCAGATAAACCGCAAAATTCGTTGACGACCGCCGCTATTCCGCACTTTGATTTTTGATTCCGATTTCACTGTAAAGATAATTAAGGTTTTGTAATAAGTTGTTATAGTATTTTGTCAATACGTGTGTGATATTATTAAAGTCTTTGTTTTACAAAAAAGTGACTCAGCCTTTGTGCAGCGCGATCCTTTGTTCACGCAGCGCGTTCGCGAACATATTTCTGGTCCTTCGAGCCGGATACTTCTCGCCGGCACCCGCAAGTTTGTGAACGTGACTTCGTGTAGTTCGTGGGCGCTCTTAGTTCACCATGGATGTGAACACGTTGATCGACTGTCAACGTGAGATCCAGGTCCGCATTTCACGTTCCGTGGAATATTTGAAGAAGCTGGGCACCACCAACATCACCGCCAGTGCCGTATCCACACGCACCAGAATCTTAGATCAGCTGTGGACGAAATTCGAGACACAGCATGATCTCATTCGAGCGGCTCTGAAAGAAAAATTTTGCGAGAGCGATTTACAAGTCGGAGTTACATGGCGATACGGAAAATCTGTACGTTGCACAACGCAGTACTTTAGATAGTTATACCGAACATTTTCGGAAGCCGAACGTGTCTCCATCCGTCGACGTCGCATCAAAGTCTTCGCTGCCGCGCATCAAGTTGCCGCCGTTCTCTGGCGCCTACGCTGACTGGCCATCCTTTCGCGATCTCTTCCTGTCAGTCGTGAGCAGCAATTCAATCTCGAACATTGAGCGCCTTCATCACCTCCGCTCGTGTCTGACAGGTCCGGCTGAAAAGTTGATAAAGTCACTACCTGTCACGAGTGACAACTACGATCGCGCTTGGGCAATCTTGGACAAGCACTACAATAACAAAAGAGAGTTGATCCGCTCCAACTTTGCCACGTTTACCGCCGTGCCAAAGATGAAGGGAGATACCGCCGAGGAGCTGAGCCGCATTCACAACGCTGTCACCGCCGCAGTCAACGCACAGGAGAGCATCGGACGTCCTATCAACTCGCACGGGATGGATCTGTTCAACCACATGGTCGTCGAATTGTTCGACGCACGCACTCGTCTCGAATGGGAGTCAACCACTTCAGACCCCACCGAACCACCACGGAACGAGGCACTTCTCGACTTCATTAGTCGACGGATCTTGACACTCAACGCCGCACGACCGAGGAGTGTCACAAAGGGATCTGGAGAGACATCACGATTCGTCAAAGCGCACGTCACGAAGCACCAAGGCACAGATTCACCTCAGTGTGTACTGTGCCGTGAAAACCATACACTGATGACGTGCAAGGGCTTCAAGGCCAAGACCGCGGTTGAGCGGAAAACGTTCGTGGAGGCCAACCGACTGTGCTTCAACTGCCTAGGCAATCATTTCCTAGCACGGTGTCAGTCAAAAAGGAACTGCCTCACGTGCAACGCGCGACACCACACCATGCTGCACGGGGCAGCCACATCAACACCATCTGCTGAGGCCACTTCACTTGCCACCACACTGGCCACGGCACGGCAAACTGAAACACACAAGGCCGTCCTCCTCGCAACCGCTCGCGTCAAGATCGCTGATCGCTACGGATCACCACACGAGGTTCGAGTCTTGATAGACCAGTGCTCCGAGGTGTCCATCATCTCTGAGGCACTGGCTCAGCGTCTTCGGCTGCCTCGAGCTTCAACAGATCTGTCCATCTTTGGCATCGGAGGGACTCGCTCTGGATCAGCGCGTGGCAAGGTCACGCTAGACATCACATCTGACGTGACCAATGTCGAGCTCCGCGTGGTTGCTTTTGTGCTGCCTCGCATCTCATTGCAGCAAGGCACCTCTCAACGCGAAGATCGTAGCTGGCCTCACATCCAAGGACTTCGACTGGCCGACCCGCGCTTCCTGGACGACGATCCTGCGGAGTTACTTCTTGGAGCAGAAGTTTACGCATTGATCCTCGAGGAAGGTCTTCGCAAGGGCGGATCACGGATGCCGATCGCCCAACAGACGAGCTTAGGATGGATCCTGTCCGGGGGCTACGATGCAGCAGCAACCGAAGGACATCGCAGCACGTTCCAGTGCACCGCAGACCACGACCTCGCTGACATGGTTCGACGCTTCTGGGAGCAGGAACACGAGCCAGTGGCTGGGACACCGCTTACCGCCGATGAAGCCAGATGCGAGGACATCTACGTGCGCACGGTCACACGCACGTCCAGTGGACGATACATGGTGAGGCTGCCATTTACTTCACCGCCGCCGACATCGCTCAGCGAGACTCGTCGACCTGCTGAACGCCTACTGGATGCCATGGAGCGGAAAGGAGCACGAGATCGTCGTTTCGGTGACCTCTATCTAGACTTCATGGAGGAATACGGGAACCTACAACATATGGAGAAGGTTAGCACAATTACAACAACTGCTGGCCCCAGGTGTTACTTACCGCATCACGGGGTCCTCAAGGAGTCAAGCACGACCACGAAGCTCAGGGTCGTGTTCAACGGCTCCCAGCGCACACGGTCCGGAGAGTCGCTGAACGCACACCTCCTCACTGGAGCCAATCTCTTGCCAGCACTCGCTGACGTCCTACTTCGTTGGCGTTGGCATCGGTTCGTGCTCGTCACGGACATCGAGAAAATGTACCGACAAATCCTCGTGCATCCGGAGGACTGTCGCCTGCAAACTATCCTGTGGCGCCACAACAGCTCTGACGACGTCCACGAGTACGAGCTGAGGACCGTGACCTATGGGCTAGCGTGTGCACCCTTCCTCGCCATCAGGACTCTTCATCAACTCGCAGCAGACGAAGAGGCACGATATCCACGCGGAGTCAAGGCACTGCGACACGACTGCTACGTCGACGACGTGGTCACCGGCGCCGATAGCTTGGAAGATGCTATCGACCTTCAGCAGGAACTACGGAGTCTTTGCACGGCGGGCGGATTTCCTTTGAGAAAGTGGGCCGCCAACGATCCTCAGGTGCTCACAGGAATTCCACCAGAACATCAGCTGCAACGTGGGCCGCACTCATGGGAAGAAGAGAGTCACGCTACCCTGGGCCTCCGATGGCATCCTCAAGGCGATTGGTTCTCCTTCTCAATTCGTCCACGTTCAGTCACTGATCTCACAAAGCGACGAGTCTAGCCGAAACGGCTCGGCTCTTTGATCCGATGGGTTGGCTCGCGCCTGTCGTCATCAGAGCCAAAATCCTGATCCAGACGACGTGGCTTCAACGGCTGGATTGGGACTCTCCGCTGCCTGATCAGGACGCACACCGCTGGAGGCAGTTGTTGGATCAGCTTCCTCTATTGGATAACATTCGTGTAACTCGCTGGCTCAACACCGGGGACGACCATTCGCAACTGCAGCTCCATGGGTTTGCCGACGCTTCAGAGCGAGGATACGCCGCCGTGGTGTACATCCGCAACGCTGCAACAGAAAAAACGTCAATCAACCTATTGATGGCAAAATCGAAGGTCGCGCCTGTCAAGCAGGTGTCGTTACCTCGCTTGGAACTCTGTGCAGCAGCTCTACTTACCACGCTCATGCTCCACGTGCGCGCTACTCTCGGTTTGACAACGACGCCGGTGCATCTGTGGTCAGATTCAAGGGTCACACTTCATTGGATCCGCGGACACAGCACTCGTTGGAAAACCTTCGTCGCCAACCGAGTATCTCAGATCCAGACCCTGCTTCCAGACGCTCAATGGAGACACGTCGCTGGACGAGAGAATCCTGCAGATTGCGCATCGCGCGGTGTTACTCCTGCTGAATTAATCAATCATGAGTTGTGGTGGACAGGACCTACCTGGCTCTCAGGAGACGAGACTGCATGGCCGGGTTCAAACATCGACGTCCCAGAGGATGACCTCCCGGAGCAGCGAGCCACCGGTCTGGTAATCAAGGCACCGGTCTCGGCAGAACCTGACCTCCTCCTCCGATTTCCAACGCTGCACAGGCTGCTGCGGGTTACGGCATGGTGTCGGCGATGGCTCAATAAGGCGAGACGTGACGCCATACCTGGCCGTCTATTGCATCCGGACGAGCTGGACGTCGCCTTATTTCGATGGCTGCGAGTGGTGCAGGCGCTCCACTTTCCTACGGACGTAGCTGCGGCTTCTGCTGGACGCACTAGCCCACCACGAAGCCACCTAGCGATGTTGAGTCCGGTCCTCGATGATCAAGGCGTGCTGCGCGTCGGAGGACGTCTCAAACATGCTCAGCTACCACTCGACGAGAAACATCCAATGATCATCCCGGCGGCATCATGGTTGACTCGGCTGGTGATCGATTCCTGCCACCGACGGACGCTGCACGGAGGTGTGCAACTGACTCTCGGCCTGCTCCGCCTGCGCTTCTGGGTGCCTCGAGGAAGGACTACCGTCAAACAGCAGCTACACCGATGCATAACCTGCACTCGATGGCGCGCCGCCACACCACAGCCTCCGATGGGTAACCTTCCTCGGGAGCGAGTAACGCCAACTCGACCGTTCCTCAGCACCGGCTTGGACTACGCGGGACCAATCCTCCTCCGGACCAGCAAGGGGCGTGGACACCGTGCGCACAAGGGGTACATCGCAGTCTTCGTCTGCTTCTGGTCAAAGGCCGTTCACTTAGAAGTCGTCTCAGACTACACCTCGGAGGCCTTCATCGCCGCTCTGCGCCGCTTCGTCTCCCGCAGGGGCCTGTGTGCTGAGATCTACAGCGACTGTGGCACGACTTTCATCGGAGCAGATCGGACGCTGCGAGGTCTCTTCAACGCAGCGACAGCCGAAGGTCAAAGTGTCATCCTTGCCGCCACCGCTCAAGGAATCCGCTGGCACTTCAACCCGCCAGCGGCCCCGCATTTTGGTGGTTTATGGGACCGGCCCGCCGTAAAGTCGACACACGTTCCACCTCCGTCGGGCACTCTCAGATGATCCAGAGGACGTTTCGGCGCTGACCCCGGTCACTTCCTCATCGGGACACCGCTCCTCGCCTTGTCAGAACCGTCATTGACAGAGCAGACGGTGTCCACCTTGTCACGTTGGCGTCATCTGCAGCGGATGAGGGATCACTTCTGGCAGCGATGGTCATCCGAATACATGCACGGACTCGCCCCACGCACCAAGTGGCTCAAGGATGCACCTGCACCCCACGTCGGCGATCTCTGCCTCGTTCGCTCCGAGATCACCCCCCCGAACCGATGGCCCCTCGCTCGCATATCGCGTTTGCATCCCGGGGACGATGGAGTTACACGCGTAGTGACGATCCGAACGGCCACGTCCGAGCTCGTGCGCCCACTCGTCAAGCTCGTGTTTCTTCCGGGCGTGAACGACGTTCCTACACCGCACGTTGACGCATAGCATCACTCACTACACGATCATCACGTCATGCACCATATCAACTGTCACGCTTCACTCATTTCACTCACCACCTCACTATAACACTTGTCTCGTTTTCACCGCTCACTGCATCGGTCACTCGCCGTTCACATCTGCCACATACTTTCGCCGTTTCAGCTGATCGATTCGCAACACGTGATCACCACGTGTTTCCGCGGCTCATGTAATTATTCATTTTACATTATATCATATGTAACTCGCCGCTCCTACGCGATTGCCCCACCATCGATCACTTCGAAGGGCGATTAAGCGACCGAAATATACAATATGTGTAAATGTCAACATATATATATTAGAATGTTTGAAACGCATAATAGAAAACTACTTGTGTAATAAAATATTATATTTTTAAATGGAATATTCTAGAATATTCGCTTCCGATCGCAAGTCAACAGGCATATCGTTTTTTATATGTTTTTTCTGGAAAACATATCGCGACACAAATTATCCTGTCGTATAAAAACACGCTCGAAATATAAACAATTAACGGTGTCGCAACCGTTCCGCCGAATAATTATTTTCTTGAGCATGCGCGGCTTCTCACGGGCGCCTCGTTTCGCCAATAATCATCGTGATTGCCAGCTCGCGCATGCTTTCTAACAGCCGTTGTTCTGTCAAATTTGACAGCGGCCAATTACGCGTAATACGCTCAGGTCACCTCGCGCAACTTTAAAAAGACGCAAAATTATTGGCGCGTCACACGAAGGTGGGCTCCGCTCCGGAAATTATAAATGAGGAGCTCTCACCCCGCTTGCCAGCTTTATCGCTTTTCCGTCGTGAAAACATATCGCAAACCGCTTATCAGATAAACCGCAAAATTCGTTGACGACCGCCGCTATTCCGCACTTTGATTTTTGATTCCGATTTCACTGTAAAGATAATTAAGGTTTTGTAATAAGTTGTTATAGTATTTTGTCAATACGTGTGTGATATTATTAAAGTCTTTGTTTTACAAAAAAGTGACTCAGCCTTTGTGCAGCGCGATCCTTTGTTCACGCAGCGCGTTCGCGAACATATTTCTGGTCCTTCGAGCCGGATACTTCTCGCCGGCACCCGCAAGTTTGTGAACGTGACTTCGTGTAGTTCGTGGGCGCTCTTAGTTCACCATGGATGTGAACACGTTGATCGACTGTCAACGTGAGATCCAGGTCCGCATTTCACGTTCCGTGGAATATTTGAAGAAGCTGGGCACCACCAACATCACCGCCAGTGCCGTATCCACACGCACCAGAATCTTAGATCAGCTGTGGACGAAATTCGAGACACAGCATGATCTCATTCGAGCGGCTCTGAAAGAAAAATTTTGCGAGAGCGATTACAAGTCGGAGTTACATGGCGATACGGAAAATCTGTACGTTGCACAACGCAGTACTTTAGATAGTTATACCGAACATTTTCGGAAGCCGAACGTGTCTCCATCCGTCGACGTCGCATCAAAGTCTTCGCTGCCGCGCATCAAGTTGCCGCCGTTCTCTGGCGCCTACGCTGACTGGCCATCCTTTCGCGATCTCTTCCTGTCAGTCGTGAGCAGCAATTCAATCTCGAACATTGAGCGCCTTCATCACCTCCGCTCGTGTCTGACAGGTCCGGCTGAAAAGTTGATAAAGTCACTACCTGTCACGAGTGACAACTACGATCGCGCTTGGGCAATCTTGGACAAGCACTACAATAACAAAAGAGAGTTGATCCGCTCCAACTTTGCCACGTTTACCGCCGTGCCAAAGATGAAGGGAGATACCGCCGAGGAGCTGAGCCGCATTCACAACGCTGTCACCGCCGCAGTCAACGCACAGGAGAGCATCGGACGTCCTATCAACTCGCACGGGATGGATCTGTTCAACCACATGGTCGTCGAATTGTTCGACGCACGCACTCGTCTCGAATGGGAGTCAACCACTTCAGACCCCACCGAACCACCACGGAACGAGGCACTTCTCGACTTCATTAGTCGACGGATCTTGACACTCAACGCCGCACGACCGAGGAGTGTCACAAAGGGATCTGGAGAGACATCACGATTCGTCAAAGCGCACGTCACGAAGCACCAAGGCACAGATTCACCTCAGTGTGTACTGTGCCGTGAAAACCATACACTGATGACGTGCAAGGGCTTCAAGGCCAAGACCGCGGTTGAGCGGAAAACGTTCGTGGAGGCCAACCGACTGTGCTTCAACTGCCTAGGCAATCATTTCCTAGCACGGTGTCAGTCAAAAAGGAACTGCCTCACGTGCAACGCGCGACACCACACCATGCTGCACGGGGCAGCCACATCAACACCATCTGCTGAGGCCACTTCACTTGCCACCACACTGGCCACGGCACGGCAAACTGAAACACACAAGGCCGTCCTCCTCGCAACCGCTCGCGTCAAGATCGCTGATCGCTACGGATCACCACACGAGGTTCGAGTCTTGATAGACCAGTGCTCCGAGGTGTCCATCATCTCTGAGGCACTGGCTCAGCGTCTTCGGCTGCCTCGAGCTTCAACAGATCTGTCCATCTTTGGCATCGGAGGGACTCGCTCTGGATCAGCGCGTGGCAAGGTCACGCTAGACATCACATCTGACGTGACCAATGTCGAGCTCCGCGTGGTTGCTTTTGTGCTGCCTCGCATCTCATTGCAGCAAGGCACCTCTCAACGCGAAGATCGTAGCTGGCCTCACATCCAAGGACTTCGACTGGCCGACCCGCGCTTCCTGGACGACGATCCTGCGGAGTTACTTCTTGGAGCAGAAGTTTACGCATTGATCCTCGAGGAAGGTCTTCGCAAGGGCGGATCACGGATGCCGATCGCCCAACAGACGAGCTTAGGATGGATCCTGTCCGGGGGCTACGATGCAGCAGCAACCGAAGGACATCGCAGCACGTTCCAGTGCACCGCAGACCACGACCTCGCTGACATGGTTCGACGCTTCTGGGAGCAGGAACACGAGCCAGTGGCTGGGACACCGCTTACCGCCGATGAAGCCAGATGCGAGGACATCTACGTGCGCACGGTCACACGCACGTCCAGTGGACGATACATGGTGAGGCTGCCATTTACTTCACCGCCGCCGACATCGCTCAGCGAGACTCGTCGACCTGCTGAACGCCTACTGGATGCCATGGAGCGGAAAGGAGCACGAGATCGTCGTTTCGGTGACCTCTATCTAGACTTCATGGAGGAATACGAGAACCTACAACATATGGAGAAGGTTAGCACAATTACAACAGGCTGGCCCCAGGTGTTACTTACCGCATCACGGGGTCCTCAAGGAGTCAAGCACGACCACGAAGCTCAGGGTCGTGTTCAACGGCTCCCAGCGCACACGGTCCGGAGAGTCGCTGAACGCACACCTCCTCACTGGAGCCAATCTCTTGCCAGCACTCGCTGACGTCCTACTTCGTTGGCGTTGGCATCGGTTCGTGCTCGTCACGGACATCGAGAAAATGTACCGACAAATCCTCGTGCATCCGGAGGACTGTCGCCTGCAAACTATCCTGTGGCGCCACAACAGCTCTGACGACGTCCACGAGTACGAGCTGAGGACCGTGACCTATGGGCTAGCGTGTGCACCCTTCCTCGCCATCAGGACTCTTCATCAACTCGCAGCAGACGAAGAGGCACGATATCCACGCGGAGTCAAGGCACTGCGACACGACTGCTACGTCGACGACGTGGTCACCGGCGCCGATAGCTTGGAAGATGCTATCGACCTTCAGCAGGAACTACGGAGTCTTTGCACGGCGGGCGGATTTCCTTTGAGAAAGTGGGCCGCCAACGATCCTCAGGTGCTCACAGGAATTCCACCAGAACATCAGCTGCAACGTGGCCGCACTCATGGGAAGAAGAGAGTCACGCTACCCTGGGCCTCGATGGCATCCTCAAGGCGATTGGTTCTCCTTCTCAATTCGTCCACGTCCAGTCACTGACCTCACAAAGCGACGAGTTCTAGCCGAAACGGCTCGGCTCTTTGATCCAATGGGTTGGCTCGCGCCTGTCGTCATCAGAGCCAAAATTCTGATCCAGACGACGTGGCTTCAACGGCTGGATTGGGACTCTCCGCTGCCTGATCAGGACGCACACCGCTGGAGGCAGTTGTTGGATCAGCTTCCTCTATTGGATAACATCCGTGTAATCGCTGGCTCAACACCGGAGACGACCATTCGCAACTGCAGCTCCATGGGTTTGCCGACGCTTCAGAGCGAGGATACGCCGCCGTGGTGTACATCCGCAACGCTGCAACAGAAAAAACGTCAATCAACCTATTGATGGCAAAATCGAAGGTCGCGCCTGTCAAGCAGGTGTCGTTACCTCGCTTGGAACTCTGTGCAGCAGCTCTACTTACCACGCTCATGCTCCACGTGCGCGCTACTCTCGGTTTGACAACGACGCCGGTGCATCTGTGGTCAGATTCAAGGGTCACACTTCATTGGATCCGCGGACACAGCACTCGTTGGAAAACCTTCGTCGCCAACCGAGTATCTCAGATCCAGACCCTGCTTCCAGACGCTCAATGGAGACACGTCGCTGGACGAGAGAATCCTGCAGATTGCGCATCGCGCGGTGTTACTCCTGCTGAATTAATCAATCATGAGTTGTGGTGGACAGGACCTACCTGGCTCTCAGGAGACGAGACTGCATGGCCGGGTTCAAACATCGACGTCCCAGAGGATGACCTCCCGGAGCAGCGAGCCACCGGTCTGGTAATCAAGGCACCGGTCTCGGCAGAACCTGACCTCCTCCTCCGATTTCCAACGCTGCACAGGCTGCTGCGGGTTACGGCATGGTGTCGGCGATGGCTCAATAAGGCGAGACGTGACGCCATACCTGGCCGTCTATTGCATCCGGACGAGCTGGACGTCGCCTTATTTCGATGGCTGCGAGTGGTGCAGGCGCTCCACTTTCCTACGGACGTAGCTGCGGCTTCTGCTGGACGCACTAGCCCACCACGAAGCCACCTAGCGATGTTGAGTCCGGTCCTCGATGATCAAGGCGTGCTGCGCGTCGGAGGACGTCTCAAACATGCTCAGCTACCACTCGACGAGAAACATCCAATGATCATCCCGGCGGCATCATGGTTGACTCGGCTGGTGATCGATTCCTGCCACCGACGGACGCTGCACGGAGGTGTGCAACTGACTCTCGGCCTGCTCCGCCTGCGCTTCTGGGTGCCTCGAGGAAGGACTACCGTCAAACAGCAGCTACACCGATGCATAACCTGCACTCGATGGCGCGCCGCCACACCACAGCCTCCGATGGGTAACCTTCCTCGGGAGCGAGTAACGCCAACTCGACCGTTCCTCAGCCCGGCTTGGACTACGCGGGACCAATCCTCCTCCGGACCAGCAAGGGGCGTGGACACCGTGCGCACAAGGGGTACATCGCAGTCTTCGTCTGCTTCTGGTCAAAGGCCGTTCACTTAGAAGTCGTCTCAGACTACACCTCGGAGGCCTTCATCGCCGCTCTGCGCCGCTTCGTCTCCCGCAGGGGCCTGTGTGCTGAGATCTACAGCGACTGTGGCACGACTTTCATCGGAGCAGATCGGACGCTGCGAGGTCTCTTCAACGCAGCGACAGCCGAAGGTCAAAGTGTCATCCTTGCCGCCACCGCTCAAGGAATCCGCTGGCACTTCAACCCGCCAGCGGCCCCGCATTTTGGTGGTTTATGGGAGGCCGCCGTAAAGTCGACCAAGTTCCACCTCCGTCGGGCACTCTCAGATGATCCGGGAGACGTTTCGGCGCTGACCCCCGGTCACTTCCTCATCGGGACACCGCTCCTCGCCTTGTCAGAACCGTCATTGACAAAGCAGACGGTGTCCACCTTGTCACGTTGGCGTCATCTGCAGCGGATGAGGGATCACTTCTGGCAGCGATGGTCATCCGAATACATGCACGGACTCGCCCCACGCACCAAGTGGCTCAAGGATGCACCTGCACCCCACGTCGGCGATCTCTGCCTCGTTCGCTCCGAGATCACCCCCCCGAACCGATGGCCCCTCGCTCGCATATCGCGTTTGCATCCCGGGGACGATGGAGTTACACGCGTAGTGACGATCCGAACGGCCACGTCCGAGCTCGTGCGCCCACTCGTCAAGCTCGTGTTTCTTCCGGGCGTGAACGACGTTCCTACACCGCACGTTGACGCATAGCATCACTCACTACACGATCATCACGTCATGCACCATATCAACTGTCACGCTTCACTCATTTCACTCACCACCTCACTATAACACTTGTCTCGTTTTCACCGCTCACTGCATCGGTCACTCGCCGTTCACATCTGCCACATACTTTCGCCGTTTCAGCTGATCGATTCGCAACACGTGATCACCACGTGTTTCCGCGGCTCAGCTGATCGATTCACTTTACACGCGATCATCACGTGAACCTCGCCGCGCCGGCGCGCCTGCCCCACCATCGATCACTATCGACTTGCGATTCCGCGACCGAAATACCACAATATGTTGTCACTGTGCGACAAGGCGGGCGGGAATGTTTGAAACGCATAATAGAAAACTACTTGTGTAATAAAATATTATATTTTTAAATGGAATATTCTAGAATATTCGCTTCCGATCGCAAGTCAACAGGCATATCGTTTTTTATATGTTTTTTTCTGGAAAACATATCGCGACACAAATTATCCTGTCGTATAAAAACACGCTCGAAATATAAACAATTAACGGTGTCGCAACCGTTCCGCCGAATAATTATATTTTCTTGAGCATGCGCGGCTTCTCACGGGCGCCTCGTTTCGCCAATAATCATCGTGATTGCCAGCTCGCGCATGCTTTCTAACAGCCGTTGTTCTGTCAAATTTGACAGCGGCCAATTACGCGTAATACGCTCAGGTCACCTCGCGCAACTTTAAAAAGACGCAAAATTATTGGCGCGTCACACGAAGGTGGGTCCGCTCCGGAAATTATAAACGAGGAGCTCTCACCCCGCTTGCCAGCTTTATCGCTTTTCCGTCGTGAAAACATATCGCAAACCGCTTATCAGATAAACCGCAAATTCGTTGACGACCGCCGCTATTCCGCACTTTGATTTTTGATTCCGATTTCACTGTAAAGATAATTAAGGTTTTGTAATAAGTTGTTATAGTATTTTGTCAATACGTGTGTGATATTATTAAAGTCTTTGTTTTACAAAAAAGTGACTCAGCCTTTGTGCAGCGCGATCCTTTGTTCACGCAGCGCGTTCGCGAACAGATGTATTTTAAAATATATATTTATTATAATAGTTGCTTGTAAACATTGATTTTATTGATTTTATAAAGAAAAATTATATATATATATATACCCGCTAAACATGAAACATACAGGGGATGTTACATTTCGGCAATAATATTGCAAATTTGAAACGTTACATAAATATGTTTATGAAATGTTTCGTAAACGTTTCAAAATAACATTTCAATTGCAACATTCATGCACTGTTCCAGAAATGTAACATTTTGGCTGTTATATCGATAATTTGAAATGTTAGGAAAGAAATGTTTGGCAACATCCTAGAAACATTTCATTTGGGATGTTCAGTTTGTAACGTTCAGAGACATTACAGCATTGTTACATTTGCGACGTTCATAAAACATGTATTTTAAAACATTCCATAAACGTTTCATTTGGGATGTTTAGTTTGTAACTTTAGAGACATGACAGCAATGTTACATTTGCTACGTTCATAAAACATATATTTTAAAACATTCCATAAACGTTTCATTTGGGATGTTTAGTTTGTAACGTTCAGAGACATTACAGCAATGTTACATTTGTGACATTCCTGAAACATTTAATTTCATAATATTCTATGAACGTTTTTATATGAAACATTTACTTTGTAACATATTCAAAAATATTACACTGCATTGCAGATTTTATATATTTGTGTTTGTACAATTGTTTTTGTACAATTGTGTTACATCAACGTTTTTGAAATAATAACACAAAAGCTTTTTAGTAAATATCAGGTACGTATATATATACATTAATATAAATAAGGTACGTATATATACATTAATAAATAAAGTACGTATACATTAATAAATCACTGAATTTTTAATATTTTATAAATTTATAATATTTTGAAAATAGTTTTTGTTTAACGTTTCATGCAAAACATAGTTAAGTAAACAAAAGTATAGTTTCATATTTTTATTTAAAAAATGTACAAATATTTAATTGAAATATTTATAAATAATCGTGTTTTATACATATATGTACTCAATTTATCTTTGCGACAGTCGAAAAAAATATTTCACTCGTGGTGACTTAAAAAAAATCTATTGTAACATATTTACTATACCACAAATATCTCATACATGTTCCAAGAATGTTTTAGGAATCTATAATAATCACCGCTCGTTCGTTAGCAACGAGTTGATACGCGTAACTAGGGAGCGCGGCGTTTCGTCTCAGGAGCTTTCGTATGTGAATAAGAATACCCAAATATAATAATAAGACAATTGTGTTTGTTGGGCTTTATTGGAGGTTTTATAAGTCGTTTTATAATTAAATTTTAAATTCATCTTTATTTATAACTGGAAGCAATGGATCTGCCTGTTGGTGACGTTCGAGATTTCTGCCATGTAAGTATATATTGTGTATATATATATTATTTTAATAACGTTAAATACCATAAAATCTTAAAAACTACGTATTAACTATATGAGCATCTCATGTGAATGATTTTAATTTTTTCAGTGATTTTTTTATCAAGTCAATAATAGCAATACTGACATAAAAATAAAACAATAATGGCTAAAATAAAAAAATGTTTTGTTACAAACGTCATATGAGACGGATGGTAAAAAAAGAATTAATACACATCTTGCAGTTGAATCGACAATTAATTCAGACGAATAATTTGCCTAATAACATAAAAACAATTATAAATGTAGATACTGTCATAAATGTAAATACTACAAATATAAATGTAGATACTGCAAAGAAACATAATGAAAAACAAGAACAATGTGAAAACCATGATAATGTGATTCCCGAGATTCCAGAAAAAATTGAGATTGAACCATTGGAATATATTGATGTGATTGAAGAAATTAACTGTTCAGATACTTCTTTATCATTTGAAAATTTATGTAATAATCTCCCTATTGTAAATGATTTCATAGTTAACGCTGTGAAACAATGGTTTTTAAAATACAGACATTTGCTTAGTCAATCTGCCATGAATGAATTGTTGGGTATTCTACGAGTGATATTTCCACAATTAGCAAAAGACTCGCGAACTCTTTTAAAAACACCAAGTTCATGTCCATATGAACTTAAAAGTGTTCCTCCAGGTTTCTATTGTCACATTGGCATAGAGAATGGACTACGTAGGATAATTAATAATAGTTTAAATATGCAAAAACATTTGATGCAAAATGTAGAAATAGTATTACCTCTTAACATAAACATTGATGGTTTACCGATATCTAATTCTTCAAAAAGTCAACTCTGGCCTATTCTTATCTCCATAGATCTAAATCTGGTTGATAAAAATATTAAAAAACCTTTTGCGGCTGGGATATATCACGGACACAAGAAACCAGCCTATGTAGACCAATTTTTAACTGAGTTTATAACAGAGTTCAAACATTTAGAACAAAATGGTTTTAACATAAATAAAAAAATAATAAAAGTAAAGGTTGGTAAACTTCTTTGTGATGCTCCTGCAAAATCATTTATTTTATGTATTAAAGGTCATACAGGCTATAATGCCTGCACAAAATGCATTCAAGAAGGGACCTTTGTTAATGGAAGAATGACTTTTTTACAAACAAATGCACAATTGCGGACTGATTTCAGTATCAGAAATAAATTAGATGAGGAATTCCATAAAGATACAAGTCCTTTCGAAAAGCTAAATATTGGTTTCGTATCTCAAGTTCCTCTCGATGGCATGCATCTTGTATTTCTAGGCGTAGTTAAAAGATTAATTATGTTTTGGATAAGAGGGAAAAAAAATCATCGTTTACCCGAGACTGATAAAAATGATATTAATAATCAATTATTGTTTTTGAAGAATTATGTGCCGAAAGATTTTCCACGCTTGCCAAGAAGTTTAGAGGACATTGAATACTATAAAGCCACTGAATTAAGGCAATTTTTATTATACACCGGACCAATTGTTTTAAAAAAGATTGCAAACAAAAATATATACACACATTTCATGGCCTTATCCTGCGCTATTCGAATTTTATGCAGTCCTGCATTATACAGAATTTATAATAATTATTCATTGAAACTACTCGAATACTTTGTTCAAAAATATGCAATACTTTACGGAAAAGAATATAT